GTGGACGATCGGCTGTGTAGGGTTCATTTGCTGGCTGGGGTTAAGCCAGGACAGGTGACCAGCACAGTGCTGCACGACCCCTTCTCCCTCCTCCCTCCTCCCCAGATCTTGGCACCTGCCTGTACCTCTTGCAATGGGATGTTGACCAGGGTCATCAGCTCCTTGATGGCCACTTGGAGCTCCTGAAACAAGTGGTTCTGGGAGGTCTCAGCCTCTGGCTCCACAGGAATGGGCTCCTCCACACTGACCATCTTCTGCAGCCATTCCCACTCCTCCCTGGAGAAGGGAGAGACAGACACGTGCAGGAGGGAACAGCTCAGGGTGGACCTGAACGCGCAATCGCTATGAGAGCTGTGTTCGGCTCGGCTGTTCCTTCCCAGACGGTGCAGCACCCCAAGGGATGTGGGAGGTGCGGAGGTAGAGGGGGACTTTGGTTTGCTCCAGCTCCAGGCTGCCCTGCATGGCAGGCAGTGGGGCTGAGAGGGAATATTACACTGCTGCCGGGAGCCCGAGAGCAGAAGCAGGAGGTGACGGGTGCTCTTAGGCTGGATAGGACAGAGGAGCCTCACTGCCCCGGCTGAGCTACCCTGCAAGCCCCACCTGGAGATGTTGGGGTTGGAGCGAATCTTGACGTGGCACAGGATGTTGGGGAGCCGCTCCGGCACCAGCACTCGGATCTGATCCACGGCGCTGCAGAGCTTCAAGTAGCCCAGGTAGAGGCCCGGGGAGAGGGCATGGCTGCTCCGCTGGTGGTAAGCCAGCTTGTCCTGAGGAGAAAGGCACTGCTGGATTGAGCAAGCCCTCGCACCAGGACTCTCTCCTGCCCTCATGCCAGCTGCCACGGCACGGCCAGCCCAGCCAGCAGAAGGGAAGCAGCAGTGCAGGTACAATCCGGTGCTGCCAGGATGAATCCGGCACCAGTCTGATGCCTCCCCTTGAAGCAACAGGGTTTTTGCAGGCTGGTTGGGCTCTGCTCCCCCTCTGCCTGCAGCCAAGACTAAACCCTCAGTAGCCTGGGCTCTGCCGTGGCTTTTCCAGCCCGAGGGGGAGCAGGGAGCACTGGTGGTCCTGCAAAGGAGCCCACCGCAATCCCCTGCCGCGACGGCACCGGCGCAGCACCTGGACAGAGATCAGCAGCGTGTCCAGAGCGGTGGGCTCCTCCGGGGAGGACACGGACTTGCGGCTGGTCTGCAGCTTGCAGATGGGAACCCAGCGGACGCTCTCAAAGGTCTGGTTGGTCTTCACTTCCTTCAGGGTGACGATGAGGATGTTGCCCTGTTTGTCTTTGACAGGCTCGAAGAAGACCTGCCCCAGGTCCTGGATGCCCAGCAGCCCCTGTGCGATGGGATGGGAGGGCAGGAGAAAGCAGCAGGTCAGGGGACATCCTTGAGGCACAGTGCTCTGTGGGTCTGGTCAGCTGGGACGTTACTGGGTGCCTCCCCTCTGCCTGCTGGAAACCAGCCTGCCCAGCAAAGCACCCACTGACAGCACCCAGTCCCTCTGCACGAGATTGCCATGAAGCCTGACACCCCATCGTCCCATGACTGGGGTTCTGCCAAGGAGAGCAAGGCACGGGCACCCGGTCCTGCTGCTGACCGAGCTGTGGGCAGGACTGGCAGAGCCTGGGGTTTTCCTGGCTGTGGCACAGGCGCGTGCTGCTCCCAAGGGAGCCCGGTCCATGGTGCCCCCCAAAAAGTGCTCGCTCCCCTGCCCAGGCCCACCCTCACCTGCATTTGCGAGATGGCCAGCAGCATCTTGAAGCGTGTCTGCAGGATGCAGGAACAGGACGACTGGGAGACAGTGACACACTGCCGCAGCCACAGGATCTCGTCCCACATGCACGACACCTGCAGCACACCAAAGGGCCATCAACACCAGCCGCCGCTGCCTGCAGCTGGTTCACACAAAGGTGTTTTGGGGAAATCCATTTGCCTTTCTGTTTGAGCTGGGTTAGGAATGTGCACCTGCACATATCGCCTCTCAGCAGGGGTGCGATTTCCTATGCCACAAGCACCCTGAGATGCCTCCAGAGCCTGTACCCGAGGGAAGCACCACGCTGTGTCCACTCAGGTATCTGTCTTTATCTAGGACTGAGACCTTCTAAAGTTTGAGTAGAAGATAGCCAAGAGAAGGAGGGAGAAGATAGCCTTCTCCCTCAGTAGATAAGGACCATCCAGCAAAAGATTTTGGGCCTGAGCTGCCCACCTGCCCTTTCACTAAGCCCACTGGCAGCAGACGACCAGGCAGCAGCACCCTGCACGTCCTGCTCTCTACAACAGAGGCAGAGCTGCCGCG